ACATGTAAATATCAATGCAAAAAATTCTAAAAAAATTCCTAAAGGCCAAAGGAAAGATTGTTTATAGCCTATGGGAAATGAAATGAAATGAAATGAAATGAAATGAAATGAAATGAAATGAAATGAAATGAAATGAAATGAAATGAAGTGAATGGAGTTTTACGCCCTACTCTTCTGCTTCAGCTTTTGAGAGACAACCAGATGTAAAAATCAAAAAGTAAGCTTATCACATTTAAACTAATTCATTTTCCAGAAATGGCAAGATATCGTAAGAGAAGTGAAGTTTCTACAACAACTCTATCATAAAAATGTTATAGATTATAAAGGTTGTTTTATTAAAGATCATACAGCATGGGTGAGTTAACAGAATGTTTTTGTATCAGTAATTGTAGTAATTATTATATATATGCCTATGTACGCATATGATATATTTATCAAGCAATCATTGCTTAATGAAGACGGAAGGAAAGGCCAAAGGTTGTTTTATTAAAGATCATACAGCATGGGTGAGTTAACAGAATGTTTTTGTATCAGTAATTGTAGTAATTATTATATATATGCCTATGTACGCATATGATATATTTATCAAGCAATCATTGCTTAATGAAGACGGAAGAAAGGTCGAAAGATATTTTGTTAAAGTAATTGTTTTCCATATAATTGTGTTCAGTTATTCGTTGTCCAATGACTACATGCCACTTAAGGAATTTATCAGTTTCATTATACTTTTATTGTGTTTTTTTTTTTTCAGCTTGTAATGGAATACTGTCTTGGGTCAGCTTCAGATATTTTGGAAGGTAAAAGTTGTAGATTCATATCAATGTTTTAACTATATGTTTGATGAGCTCCATGTTATCATTAACTTACGTGTAAAAAAAGAAATAATCCAGTACTCTGTATTATAAGACTGCTAAATGCTTAAATCCCTTGCTGAACTCAAATGAAAGTCTGACAATTTTTTGTCTTTAGTGATCTGTAAGCTTGAGGTGGAAGTGACAAATTCTATATTCTTCCATGCAGATTATAATGATAACAATAGTTTAATTAACATTGACATGTATGTGACTGATATTTTATTGACAGCTGTTAAATTTATTGAATTGTAGACAAACATCAAGTTTTATTCATTCTTTGTTTTCAGTACACAAGAGGCCATTAAGAGAAATAGAAATAGCAGCTATATGTCAACATGCTTTACAAGGTTTAACATATTTACATGGTTTAGGTAAAATACATCGTGATGTTAAGGCTGGCAATATACTACTTACTGAAAATGGTACTGTCAAATTAGGTAGGTCATTTCTTACATGATACTAATAATTAAAGGGATTGTAAAGAGGTTATCTGAATTTTGTATGTGTATTGGGGACATTGATATCATTTATTTGCACCATTCCAATTTCGATGGGACATCTCTGATTTCTGCAATTCCACTAAAACTAAATGTTGATGATGTCACTAATCCTGAAGTATGCTTTATCACATAAGGGCCTTCACATTTAGTGACATGATAAAACGGTAAGTTTTAGTCCAATTGCAGGAACCACGGATGTCTGATTGAAAATTGGTTATTGAATGAAACGTTGTTGATTCAACCAGTTTTCGGCAGTTTTATTTGGCCAAAATACATCACCAATGAATCAATACTTAATTTGAAATCTTCCTTTCAGCTGATTTTGGTTCTGCATCATTAGTGAGTCCAGCTAATTCATTTGTTGGTACACCATATTGGATGGCACCAGAAGTGATATTAGCTATGGATGAAGGTCAATATGATGGCAAGAGTGATATATGGTCATTAGGCATTACCTGTATAGAATTAGGTAAGTGATCAATATACAATATATCAGAAAAAGTGTTTGAAGCCTGTACTTATGTTTACTCATTTATAAAAATAAAACTTATATTGAAAGCATTCCATTACTTATAGGTTAAAGTACATCTGAGGGTTGTCTGAGTCCTGTGCCAGCGACTGGAGTTCATCTACATCCTCTGAGATGTATGATATATAAATTCCCCTGGACTGACTTGATAAGGGATTTTAATAAGAAATTTTACACCTCAACATAAGAGTGTCAGTGTCACTAGAGGTTTATAATTCGTGTTGCTGCAGAAACAGCATTGTTTTGCTAACATATCTTCAATTTACAAATTACAATTTCACATTTTGAAGCAGAATGTCCTTGAACCATGATCCTGTATATGTAAGCACCATAGTGATTGAATGAAGATAATTTGGTTTATCATGTATACAATTGAACAGTGGACAGAATCTGTATGACTTGAATTAAGACTGTATTTTTTGCGGTATATTTTAACCCAATTGCGGCCTCAGGGCATGAAAATTAAATTGAATTTTTTACTCTAAGATTTATCAAGTATTTAACTATATTTTCAGCTGAAAGAAAACCTCCATTATTTAATATGAATGCTATGAGTGCCCTGTATCATATTGCTCAGAATGATTCTCCAAGTCTTTCTGGTGGTGATTGGTCTAATGATTTCAGGAATTTTGTTGATGCGTGCCTCGCCAAATCCCCTCCAGATAGACCCTCAGCTGAGGAACTATTACATGTAAGTATCACCAAAGCTAGAGTTATTGCCCTTGCCCCAAAATCTTGATTATGCTATTACTCTCTTAGTTTTCATGTGATTTTGATGAAACTTAAAATGGATGTTTCTTTTTTACCATCCGCATGATGGAAGGGCGTAAATGGCTGTGGTCCACTACCTTTATTAAAGCAACCATTTATAACTTATGCCATTTATTTATATTTCAGCATCCATTTATAACTTATACCATCTGTTTATATTTCAGCATCCATTTATAAGCAACTCTAATCTATGTGATGTTATAAATGAATTAATCTATAGAACAAAGTCTGCTGTTAGAAAGTTAGATAATTTACAGTACAGAAGATTACAGAAGTTAATATTAAATGGTGAACATGCTGATGGTAATGAAACCAGAGATTCTGTTGATGCTGATGATGTAGTTATTGATGATACTTCTTCTCAGGTACTGTTTCTTTAATTTCTACTGGGATAGCTCAGCAAGTTACATAGAGGTTTCCCCTTCGCCAGTGATGAATTCAGAAAAGGACGACACTGAAAGAGCGTCAGATCTTCTTTTAAGTCAGACGTTTCTGGTTTTTACAGCCGCTAATGGAAAAAATGTTAATATTATACAAGGCCCATTGCGATAGTGGCATGGTAAAAGACTTAAACCACAGACATTTGATTGAAATTCAAATAGTGCATTTTCGTGCCACCAGTACATATAAGGGGTTTAGAAGAAAAAAAATCGTTGAACGTTGTCAGGTGGTGAATCAAATATTTAGACCACTACAGCCCAAAAATTGACTAAATGAGCTCTTGCATATTTGTATGAAATTTTGAGAAGAAAAACCTAGTTTATTGTGCAATACATGTAATAGTGCAAAGCAAAAAGATAAAAGAAAAATCTTTGTTCATTCTATTAATAGGTAATAATTATTCATTCTAATACTAAAAAATATTGTCATTTGTTGTATTGTAGGATGATGACCCTGATAATAGTAAATCAGGTAGTTTAACCAGTCATAACAGCAATACAGCTAGTAGTCAGAGTAGTTTAACTAGTTTTCCTGGTAATGTTAATGATATTACTAGTTTTACTCAAGTTGAAGGCAGTGTAAGTATACCATACCATGCTTGTATCTTGTAATATCTGCAAGAGCTTTTATACCTTGTTCTTGAAAACTTAACTTAAAGGGACTGTATAGAGGTTTCCTAGATTTTTAATGTTTATCAGATGTCTGTGGTACCTGCAATTCCACTAGATATATGTCTTTGATTAGTGCCATTAGTGAAGTCATCGTACACTTAGTTTTAGTGGAATCTCAGGAACCACAGACATCTGATTAAAAATTGGTGCAATGGTGTAAATTTATGATAACAGTGTCCCCGATACACATAAAAAATTTAGAAAAACTCTTTATAATCCCTTAAGGATGATTTAATTCTTCCAGTTTTTTTGATTGGTCAATCAATGGAATCGATTTTAAAATTGGTTTTATAATAATCTAATCATATAACTGCAATTTTTCAAGAATGAGGCCCCAGATTTATCCTAGCTAATGTTGAATATGAAGGCCTTTTTGAATAATTTTTCTTTTTTTGGTCAGCCCATCTATGAATTCATTTCCCTACAAAATTAAAAACAAGGCAGTATCTTCATTGCTTTAATGGTAGTTCTTCATTTAATGCTCACAAACAAGGTGACACTATCATAAAATACAGTACCCAAGAAAACAATTGGATTCAAAGTATTTTAAGAGGCATTATTTTAAAGCAATCGTGATAATCAAAACAATTTTATATATCTATAACATTTTCACAATGTCTAGGTATTGCTATTACAATACAATACCTTGACATCATTAGATACATTTCTTGTATCAAAAAGGTTTGTAAATGCAAGGATTGGATTGTACACAATGTGGTTTGCCTATGTAGTTACTAGTTGAGGAGTCTGATTGGCTGTATTTACTAGTGTATAATCCAACCATATTGCTTCATTTACAAATATCTGTGATACAAAGTGTTTGATGCATGACTCCTTATAAAATATGTTAAGTATGGTTCAAACTTCAATATCAAAACAAATTGTATTAAGCATCTATATTATAAGGTTATTGTATTGTTTCTATATAGCCACCTAATACAGTACATGTACAGTTAGAACAAATACAACAGGTATATAGTGTGGATACCCTCCCTGCATGTATGTCATATGTCTGACACTTGTCACTTTGTCAGACATTGTCAGTGTATCACTAATCTGTCAGACATTGTTATTGTTTAACACATTTGTTCAGTCAGACATTGTCAGAGTAAGCTTATCACACATTGTCTGTGAGCTACATTCTTAGTTCAGTCATCGTCACAGTATCACACATTAGACATTAGACATGTCACACATTCTGTTCAATTAGTCAGTCTGTCAGTCAGTCTGTCAGTTAGTCAGTCTGTATTTCAGACAAGTTGTACAAATTGCAATTTCTGCTTTCATGTACCAAAGTTAAGAAATCAGTTAATATTTTGTGTAGCTTTAAAATGGGAGCAGACAATTTAGGGATTTTAAACTTGAGTCAGCCCAGATTATCTTGTGTTTCTGGCTGTACCAAAAATAATATTAGATTTGAACTTTGCAGATATTTTTGTTGTATTGTTCGGAATTCTTAATCTTGATAACAGTTCACCTTGTTATGTATTAATGTTATTTTAGTTTTAACAAAAAGTGTCATTCTCACATATCCTTTGTCCACAGTCTGTTAATGTGTATTTATTGTTTTCAGTAATTTTTATGACAATAATTTCAGAGGACATACCAATTCAATTTCTATATGACTTATTTCTTAATTAAAGGGATATTATGTCTTAAAAAGGACAAAATATTTAAAACCCTCAAACTTGGTCTATGTAAAATATTCAACAGTTGAAATTACCAAGTGTCATGACTAAAGAATAGAATCTCTATATTATAGACAATATATCCATTAAACTAAGTAATTATTGAAACACGCTTAGTGTAATGGATTATTACTTAGTTTTATGGATTTATTGGATTTTAGAGAGATTCTGTTGTATAGTTTTGACACAGCTAAGTAACAGAGACTCAGTTTAAACATTTTAAATTTTTGGTCATCCTAAGAGGTAGTATATCTTTAAATTGAAACGATTACTTTGTAAAGCGGAATAATGAAATAAAGAATCTGGTATCTCCACTGATTACTTCAAATAACACTGCATGATCTAAACTTGACCACAGTGCATTATTAGTACTTTAAAGGTTTGTTTCAGCTATCTGTACTTTTCAGATTTAACTTTTCATGTTGGGTTTGTCTACAATTTAGAAAAAAAGAATGGGTTTCTAGGCTGTTCGCATACTCCTATGCAGATGTAGCAGATGATTCTTTATTATCAGGTCGTTTGCATGTACATGGAAACGTTTTTTTATTTCCATCAGTATATGTCATTTAATTGTAGACAAGCCAGATGCAAGATTTTCTTTCTGAGAGTGATACAGATAACTGGAATTGATTTTATGGATATAACAAATTACACTTTAAAAAATCATTAGGTTAATAGTATTGAATAGTTGACTAATTTATTTGTTATTTTTGTCTCCAAGGCCTGGCCCTTTTTCAACAGAACTGCCTCTTACAGTCCATATAAGTATTCCAAGGTAAAAAACTGGCTTCTCCTGACAATTTGCATGGATTCCAAGCAGTCTTAGGATTATTTTGCTAGATTTTATTTTTTTTTTACTGTATTACCCTCTCCTTCAGGTCATGGCAATCTTTTTCAGACTTTAACAAATTTTCTCCAATATCAATGATATTTACCTATTAAAATCTTTATCTTTTGAATTGTACAATTCCCTTTCTATTTTTCACTTAAATTCCCTCTGCAATTTTTGACAGACCACAAGCAAAATTATAAATTTGAGGAATTTGCCTTCAAATTTTTGTTTTGTTTTATTTTATGCCAAACATTCCCCATGAACAATCAAAAATAAGTGGTCTTCAGTGATGTGGCAAAACTTTTCCAACGGCGCCCTGCATGGTGGTATTTATCTTTAAATTGTCACAAAATGATATCTTTAGAAAAACAGACTGAAGCAAAATCATAAGATTTCATTAAAATTTTCTAACATAGTAATACATAAGAATTTAAAATCTTTTTTTGTAAGATCTTATTGCTAAATACTTAAAATGTAAGATAACCTGGTTTCCATTTTGACTTATTATTCAGTAATTCCAGTGCCACTCTCTCCATAAATGAAAAATGTGGGAAAAGCTAACTGTGGATTTTTGTAACTTTTTCTGGTTTCAGCCTCCTTTATGTTATCACTTTATTTTCAGTTTCATGCATGATTTTATTATGGCTTGGCATGTTCTATGTATATTCACCTATTTATTTTCTTCCAACTTTTTTTTGTTCCAGATATCTTTATATATATATACAAATTGTAAACCTGGCAAGAGACCTTGGCTCCATTTCACAAAAAATCTTATGAGAAGAATTTGTCTTAAAGGGATCATAAAAAGATTTCAAAGCATAAGTTTAAACCATTCCAATTTTCAATCAGACGTCTGTGGTTTTTGAAATCCTTCTAATGCTATATTTGTTACCTCTGGAAAATATAGGAAATACGACTTCCGAGATGGTATATAGCTTTGGTTACTTCAAATTTTGCTCGGAAGTCATGTTTTCTATTGGAGAACTCCAGTAGCTTAAATTATTTCGAGTTATATGATGTCATATGACATATTAATGCTGGGCAACCAATCAGAATTTTATAATGGACACATGATATAATTATTATGGGCATGCGTCTGTACCAATTTTTAAATGTGTCCGGAACAGAATCAAGTGGTAATTACAACTTTCTAGTAGGAAACTTTCAACTTCCCAGAGATAACAAATATAGCATAAGTATTTGATGACGTCACTTATCGCGAAGGGTTGAAATAAAAATTTATTTTTTGTGGACTTGCAAGGAACCCAAGACATCTGATTGAAAATTGGAATGGTGCAAATTGATGCTATCAATTATCCCCAATACAATTTTGAATTCCTTTTTACATTCCCTTTCAGTGTGGAACTTTACATTGAGAATTGAGAATTAATACACTGACAACAAAATTGATCATAAGATATTTTGTAAAACTGAGCCGTGATTTATATGAAATTGTAGAAAATGCAACTTATATGATTGCAGTGTCCATTCAGACAACACAAAATTCTGCAGTATTAGTATTCAGAAATTAGATTCCAAACATAAGATTGAAAAGTAATCTTTTCATTGATGTTGTTTGTTGATTTCAAATAATGTGTGTAGCTTAGAAAGTTCTTTAAATTAAATGTTTTCTTCTGTTTGAGCTAAGATGCTGCTCAAATAGACAAAAAGTAGTTTTTGTTTTTTTTAAAAATATGATGTATTTATCTATATGTTTGTTTATTTTCAGCCCTCAGCCAGTAGCTCTAGTTTAGATGTTAGTCCAAGTAACTTTGCTACAATACGTACAACCTCCATTGTTCATAAACAAATTAAAGAGCATGAACATTCAAATGAATTACGTGAACAGTTCACAGGTTATAAAAGATTACGGAAACAACATCAAAAAGAATTACATACAGTAAGTGTTCACAACTTTTTTTAAGCTTATTGGATTATTACTTGTGGAATCTTAGCAATAAGAGAAAAAGTGATATTTTTTGCCAGCCTTCATTAGCCCTCTTGGTGCAGAAAAGTAGGATGTTAAACTCCATTCATTTCATTTCTAATGGGACAATAAACTGAAGCATCTTTTGTTTTAGGCGGTGAATGTTATAGATCCCTCAAAAGATGAAAATTCTAAAACAGAGGGCTAATGATGCTGTCCAATATAAAACTTGGATAGGCAGAGTAAAATTTTCTATTGTTCTTATTAAGTAAACTTTTAATATTTACATATTATTTTGTAGATGGAGACTAAATTTGCAGTAGAAATGGAAGAACATAAGACAAAGTTAGATCGAGAATATGAGAATTTACGCAATAAGTTTGCTAAAGAACTGGAAAGACTGAGAATTACTCATAATCAGGAATTAGAGAAAAAGGTAATGTTACTTTTATTTAAAATTCAGATCTTCAAAATGTATCTTAAACCAAATTTTAATAGAAAACTTCCGCAGCATTGCTATTTTCTAAGTTTGTATCTTTTTCGTGACACAACAGAAGGGATAAATGCATGGTAAAGATATGTGATAAAACCCAATTTAAGATCAGACGAAACTATTATGTGCAGTTAGCAAGGCGATTATTAACAATAAGCCACCATTGTTCTAAAGTTAAGGAATAAGCTATCTAATAAAATTAGATTACAATTTCGTATTTTCTTTGTTCTTCTGATATTTTAATCTACATTGTGATCTAAATAGTTTTCTACCAAAGGCCTGTCCCAATGATGTTATTTTAAACCAATTAAAAAATGTAAAACCTGACCTGATGAAATGGTGAATTGTGAGCCAGCAAAACCCATAAAGCTGTGATATTGCTCAATTTGTGGATATCCCACAATTCATTATTTTTTTAAGATTCGGGTTTGACATGACACGCTTTGATTGGTTAAAAAAAACTACCTTTGCAACAGGCTTTTTTAAAAAAAAATTAACTAGATTGCAATGTAGACTAGAAATATCAGAAAATAAAGAAGATATAAAATTGTAATAAAAGTTTATTGACTGAGGAATAAAACCCTAGTGTGTGAAAATTATTTCATTTTGTTTTCTTTACAGCAAAAATTGACACAACTTCAAGAAAGGAAGGTAGTAAAAGAAACACAAGCTAGACAAGATAATGATAGAAAGAGTTTCTCTGATACTTTTAAACGAACATACAGATCAGATAAAGAACAATTAAAAAAGGTAAAACAAAAGATTTATTTTGACTAAAAGTATCTTGGTATCTTTGGTATTGTGTTATAGCAAATTCAAAAACTGTTTCATGATATTCAGATGAAGTCAAGAATCCAGCCCTTAACTTTAGACAATTTGTGCAGTGATTTCTTCTGGAAATCTGAAATTTATGTCATTTTCTGAGCAATGCGTATTTTTCTTACTGCATACTATGTTGGATGTTTCCAAACACTAACACAGCAGTTTTTTCATTATGTGCTTGTTGTTTTCTACATCATGTGATTGTTGTTTTCTACATCATGTGTTGCTTGATTATCTACATCATGTGTTTCTTGTTTTTCTACATCATGTGATTGTTGTTTTCTACATCATGTGTTGCTTGATTATCTACATCATGTGTTTCTTGTTTTTCTACATCATGTGTTTCTTGTTTTCTACATCATGTGTTTCTTGTTTTCTACATCATGTATTTCTGGTTTTCAACATCATGTGTTGCTTGATTATCTACATCATGTGTTTCTTGTTTTTCTACATCATGTGTTTCTTGTTTTCTACATCATGTGTTTCTTGTTTTCTACATCATGTGTTTCTTGTTTTCTACATCATGTATTTCTGGTTTTCTACATCATGTATTTTTTGTTTTCTACATCATGTATTTCTTGTTTTTTACATCATGTATTTCTTATTTTCTACATCATGTGTTTCTTGTTTTCTAAATCATGTGTTTCTTGTTTTCTACATCATGTGCTTGTTGTTTTCTACATCATGTGATTGTTTTTTTTCTACCCTATGTGTTTGTTTTTCCAGGATCATGACTCTAAGAGTACGCCTAAAAAAGAGAAAGAAGATGCTGTTAAAACCTATAAGGAGGTGACGTTACGTAAATTAAAAAATGAAGAATTCAGACTTCAGAAGGAACATGAGGACAAGATGCAATTTGAAATCAGGAAATTTAAACGCCAGAAGTTAATACAACATCATATTTTAGAACAGACATTATTACGTGAGGTATATGAATTTATTAAATTTCAGCTAAATATTTCAGTACAAGGCTAGCTTGAAACAGTAATTTGCTGCTTTAAGGGTTTGATGAAAGCTTTGTTGAATTTCCGAATATGGGAGTATTTTAATAAAACGACAAGTCGACAGAAAAAAATAAATCACACGATAAGAAGCAAACAGTAGGTAAAAAGTCGATAAAATTAGAGTTAATGTATCTACATTTTGGGACTAATCCCAATAAGCGAAAAAAGCAAGAAAGGTGCTAGCTCTATGACGAACAACACTAAACTGAAAAAAATGTAACATTCAGCTTAGTTTAGTAGATGAAAGAAAATGATTTTTCAATTTGGGAGATCTGTTTTTTTAGACATCAAAGACAAGCCTTTTCCCACACCTTAGATCTTTTTTCATAAGTGAGGTTTTGTTGTTTAAAACAAATAGCTTATAGTGAGCATAATTCATTGATATTTGTATGAAAATCTTCATGGCATGTGGTGCCATAGTGTTCCCAGCTAAAAACATACTTACGCTGTTGCATTATTTTAGAATCACATAGAATATCATTATGATCCCTGCACTGAAGGCTCTTTTCCCATAAAATTAATGAGAACCTTGTTACAAGAACAACCTGATAAAGAGAATTTATTTATTTCCAGGAACTATGTCAGAGAAAAGCTCAGTTAGAATATGAACATAGTATGTTAGTCAGGCATCATGAATCCACTCAAGATTTAGAATATAAACACTTGGCAGCACTACAAAAATTACGTGATGAACAATTAAAAAAACAACATGAAATGGAACGAGAAAATCAGAAAGAGTATAATGCCAGAGTGGAGTCTGATTTAAAGAAAAAACATTCATTAGAAGTCAAACAGCAACCTCGCAGTTTACGGGTATGTTTTTTAGAATCTCCTCTTATTAAAGAGACAGGTGTGCCGTTTTGGGGGTTGAATTTAGTCTTAATACATGAAAATAGTCATCAGAAGTACTAGAAATGTAGGAAAATCACATAATTCCTGTAAAAATACTTCAAACTAGGAATTTTACTCAAATTTTGATGGTGAGCCATGAACACTATTACTGTTAGGTCAGCTAAAAAATTCCTGTTCCAAAATATGATTGGTCAAAAAAAATGGCCAACCTGTCACTTTAAGCTAGATTACATTTATGCTCTTTTGCTACAAATATTCTTATGGTCAAAGCATACCATGAGTTCTTTGCAATTACATTCAAGATGATAATCTCCATGCTGTGGAATATTCTCTTTGCAAATTTTAATGCATTGATTACTTTGTTCATACATAAATCTCACTCCTGATTAATGAGTTCTCATGCTCTGCTCTTTGGTTACAAACATATGCTGGTAATATGAGCTGAGTTCTTGTAAATTATATTAATATTTGAGATGATGGATTTCATTCTCTCTTGTTCGATGATTTTTCTTATTCACATGCGTTAATTCCAAAAATAAGAAATTTGACTGCCATTTTCAAAGCAACTTTCCTGATAGGAATTGTTTCTCGAAATCCATATAAGCAGCCTGAGATAAGCTCTTGTGAAGTTCACTGAATAGTAAAAGTTGATGTCCAAACTAGTTACCCTGATGATTATATGTTATGTGCAAATTTACTATTATTTGTGTGCCTTATGGAGGTTCCTATTTGAACAGACTGTTATTATGAATCTTTATTGCTTATTATTTTTAGCAAAAAGAAATACAGATACGTAAACAATTCAATGAAGCAGTTAAAACTCAACAGAGACAATATAAAGCCTTAAAAGAACATATATTACATAATACACCTAAAAATGAACAGAAAACAGTAGTGAAAAAACTGAAGGATGAACAGATGAGAAAATTAGCATTACTTGGTGAACAGTATGAACAAAGTATAGCTGAAATGTTACAGCAACAAAATGTAAGTTTTATATAAGTAATGGGTTCTAGACTCAAGGTAGTTAAGGTGATTTGAATATTTAGATCATGTACAAACATGAGCGGTTACGGTTGTATAAATGCTCAAGGCAAGGTGTCAATTGATGTAATAAATTAATACTAAAATATGAAATCTTTTTAGTTTTATCACACACTACGTTTCAACAAACTAAGGAGTAGTATACCATAAAATTGTGTCCGTTATTTAATGTGATCTCTACCCCTAAATGTCGCTAAAGGATTAAATATTTAATAGGCAATTTCCTTTTTTGGAAGTAATATGGCCTAGATTCTTTGTTGTTATTCTTTAGATTCTGTGTACCCTTTCTTTGCATTTTGACACGACTTGGTAATAAAGGGTCAATCCTTAAGCAAAGGTATGAATTGTTGACACAGTTGATAGATGTCTGAATCACTTGAGTATTATATAACAATACTTGCAATATTTGGATTGATATATTGCATTTTCAGATACCTCCTGGGGTATTTGTTGGTACCCTTAGGGAGGTTGAGCACCAGGGTAGAATCCTTTTTCAAATTGATAAATTGACCAAATATTTTACAGGTACGATTGGATGAAGCTCAGTTAGCTGAAGCTAATGAATTAAAACAAAGATTACAGAAAGAATTAGAGCTATTAATGGCTTATCAGAGTAAATTAAAGATGCAAGCTGAAGCTCAACATCAAAAAGAACGCAAGCAATTAGAGGAGAAGGTATCATTAAGACGTGCATTATTAGAGCAAAAGGTAAATATGTTGTGGGTTCTGACATAGAAAAGCTTCTAGTTGTTCGGGTTGTACAATAAACCAAGGCCCTATGTGCTGCAGGCTGTGCATGTTAAAGACCAAAGACCCCTCTATAGCTGGAGATCAAAAAAGAGTAGGCTTATGCTGGTGTCCGGGTAAAATTTCCCTCATGACATAATGCATGGAGTAGTTTATCCTCATTAGCCAAAACAGGTGCTGAAAAAGAAGGATGTAAAGTGTCATTACTTTCTGTATACCAAAAAGTAACTTAACAGCAAGATCTACAACTCCTATTGAATTTTGGTTATCTCCCTTTGGTTACTTCATCGCATGTCTGATTTGTTATCAATTTCATTTTCCATCTGCTAAATCTTTTATTTCAGATGGATGATGAAAGAATGATTTTCGAGAAAGAAGAAACGGAACGAAGACGTCATCAATTACAAAAACAAGATCGTGAATTACGAGACTTTGATATTGAAACTGCAGGCAAGGGGTTAAATGTGTTAGAAATAACAGAGGCATCAACACGTGATGATGATGATAGAAACAGTGTGCGAGGCAGCATGTTAAGTTTAAGTGGGAGCTCTAGTACCAGTTCTTTCTCCTCACAAACTCCATTATAACTATAGCTAACTTTATTTTAGCAAT